TTGTTTATTTGGTTTCTCTAAAAACTACAGAATCGATTTAAATGACTACTTAATCTGAAATTCAATTAAGCGCCAATTAAAAAGAAATAAAAATAAAACTAGTTTGGGGACGATATCGTTATTTCTTTTCGAGTTATACGAAACAAAAATGTTCACTAAAATATGAAGAGATACAGACCTTTTAAATGCAGTAAAATCTGTCAACAAACAAATCGCAAAAGAACACCGATTCCTACTAAGGATGATACGCGAGGCTATTGAAATTAAAAAACATCCAAATTTCAGTAGAGAAGATGGATGGGTGCTGACAGCTGCATGGGATCCTATAATTAACAAAATTAAACCCAAACCCAAGCATACCACTGCAAGGCTTCATGATACTATAAGCTCGTTTAGCGTAAATCGGACCAAAAATTAATATTCAAAAACTGAAGGTAGCAGGACTAACTATGACATTGGGACGTCAAACATCTCAGTCCCCCCCCCCCGTGACTATGGGTGCTGTAAAGCACCCGAAACGTCGGGATAGTAAAAATAAATTAAAGTAATTAAACGCGATAAAATCCGTAAATAATAGTTTTATTCAAAGTAAAATCTGTGTCAATGAATGTTAAAACCTGTAGATATGTATTGTTTCTTTCTTTTTGTAACATTTGGTCCTTCATATATTTGACTCATTACGAAAATGAGTTTTTACTTTCTTCTAAAACAGGATGAGTTTCTTTTGTCCGTTCTTTCTTGCATAAATTTTACTTTGTAACCAGTGGTAAATTATTATTTTAATAGGAGCTTTAAATAAGCCTGAACTGAATAAAATACTTTTTAACTTTGTTTTTTTTTTTCAATACTGCTGGTTAATATCAAGTTTGTTCTTTTTACGGTCTGTAAAGATAGTTACTGTATGTATATTTGTTTTAATATAAGAATGTAATGGAATTTTTTAATTCAGATGTCACCTACTTCCAGATATCTGGATGATATGAGATTTTGCATTAATATTAAGAAATAATGACAATACGAGACAATGGTTTCATGACTATTACATAGTATTCTCATAGCCATCTTTAAAATTTGTGATCATTGCGTGTTGTTTAAGTTTTTTTTATAGGATAGGTTGACAAACGAGCGCACAGTCCATCTGATGGTAAGTGGTTGCTGTAGTCCATAGACATCTACATCTAGTCTCGATTACGAATCAAAATGCAGATGCGTTGTCACCCGTGAGGACTAAGATGGAATGCCTCGTTTCCAGTAAAATGGATCTCCGGTTCTCTACGCTCACATTACGAAACACAGCAGCATTAAGCTACTATTTTACACTGGTATTCCGTGAGAGCGTGGTCCTTCCCCGGTCGAGCCGACTTAGTCGTGCTACAACTATACTACTAATATAATTGCAGCATGGTTCTACCACGTATAAAAGTTTTCTTAAATTGTAATAAAACATAACCTATTATTAATACTCTAATGCAATGGAGTTTTGTAATTCAGTTAAACTTCCTGTTATCCGAATAATCTGACACAAGGATCATCACAACTCATAGCTATTACGTGTTTTTATTTTAAATTTTCTTAAACTTTTACAATTTAGTACACAATATCACAGCCGTAATTCGAACATCTACTTAATAACATTTGTGTTCGCTACTTCGATCATTGATCGAAGGTTCGCTATAAAAATATTACTAATGCTGCTAATGTAGGCACTAGCACATCCTATTATGTAGGCAACAGTAATGTTTACTTATGCCACACATGCCGAGAGTCGAGAAACGTTCAGAGATACTCGTAGAAAAACGGCAAGAGTGTCTACGCCTGTACAATATACATGATATGAAATGAGACTAAAAGCATTTTGAGAGTATATACGAGATACAAGCAGTGCATTTATTTCTGTTATAAATTATAATATTTATTTAACACAATTGAAGTGTCCGTCTATCATTAAATAGGTTTTTGTTTCATTAAGAATGTTTTCATTATTGCATGGGTGATGGTTCTTTCGTTGTTGTCGTACTTAACAAAATGTATGTTCATTCTTACGTCTGGTGAACTATAAGTTGGTTTATCACTTCAGTTTTATAAAAAAGCCGATCTTTAAAGCTTATAAAAACTGTTCCTTACATCAAAACTTTAAATTTTATTGACATGCGTGCGTCTTATACGAAGTAGAGACACGCTGAAGCTATATTATGGTTGTAGCACGAAAAGGTCGGCTCGACCGTGGAAGGACCACGTTCTCACAGAATACCAGCGTATAATAGCAGCTTGATGCTGTTGTGTTTCGTACGGTGAGTGTAGAGAACAGGACCCGTTTTACTGGAATCGAGGCAATCTTAGTCCTCAGGAGTGACAACGCATCTGCATTTTGATTCTTAATCGAGGTTAAATGTAGATGTCTATGAGCCTCCGCATCCTTTTACCATCAGGTGGGCTGTGTGCTCGTTTGTCACCCTAATTTTTAAAAAAAATGCTGAATGAGGTAAAGAAACTATAAAAACTTTTTAAAACGAAAGTTGCAATGAGATAGAAAATACTGAAAATTTAAACTATATTTACGATCGCATAACGAAACGGTAATTGAAGGAAATAGAAGAATGAAATATTATTTATTTTTGAGAGTGTAGCGTTGGATTTTAGAAATCCCATTGATTTTAATGAGGCTGTTTAGTTTTATGAACGGCCTTGTCTTATTAAAATTAATCCCTAAGTGTTACACCAGCCTAAAATAACAACATATTACTGCTGTATTTCAAACCGGAGAGCCGTTTTACTAGTACCGAAGTATTTTATCCAATTCCTCGAAGTAGTAACAATAAAATAAACAGAACAAAAACAATTCTTAGCCGAGAATAGATTGATGGAGGATATGCCACAGTATATAGTGGTTTTTTATAGTATAACGGTGGCATTCGAGCACACAGTTCACCTGATGGTAAGTGGTTACTGTGATCCATAGACATCGACATCCGTCCTCGATAACGAATCAAAATGCAGATGCGTTGTCACCCATGAGGACTGACAAGGACTAAGATGCATGCCTAGTTTCCAGTAAAAATGGTCTCCGGTTCTCTACACTCACCAAACGAAACGCAGCAGCGTTAAGCTGCTATTTGACGGTATTCTGTGAGAGCGTGGTCTTCCCCGGTTGAGACGACCCATTCGTGCTACAACTATATCAGTAATATAGCTGCAGCGTGACTCTACGTAGTAGTGGACTTTGCACTTAAAAAAACGAAATAAATATCCAAGGTTTTTTTTTTGATAAAAATAAATTAGGAAATGTTTTTGTACTTACTAGAAAAAGTGTGGCGCATAAAGAGACTTATTACGCTTATTTCTACTCTTGTAAGTCACAACGTTATATGTACTAACTAAACACCATAAAGCACTGTAGTCTTTTAAGTCTCTGATGTAAACAATGAGTCACTTATACGGGGGTTCGACTCCCCTCATAATTCTTGAGGCTATTGGAATACTTCATAAGCTTAAGCATTTATAAACTCTCTCAATAAAATTCATTTCACTCTCGCAGTAAACTGCTTGGAAGTGTTTGGTGTTTAAATAATTTTTGCAGTCTAGTTGTTCGCCGTGCTTACTAGAAACGTGTAACACCCATTTTAAAATAATTGTTATAAAAGTTTTCCGAAGTTAAATCTTGATAAAAACCTCAAATGTTTTTAATAGTATCGATAGAAGTAGTTATAAATATAAAACTAACTATCAAAGAGCGTTATGCCTTTAAAAAAGCTTCAAAATAAGGGGGAAAATACAGAATAATGAACAATGTGAGCATCGTTACATTTTTAAATGTAAAATATAACCTAATTGCTTCATTCCATTTGTGTTTTAAAAAAATCTATTCATATGTTTGAGGTGCAATTACGAGTAAGCATAGGTAACTTATATTAAACATTCATTTTACTTATCGAAAGGATAAAAAAATATCCTTAAATGTGACAAGCATGATTGTGGTGTTTATTAGAGATGGACCGAATATGGATTTCACCGAATACTAAAATTCGGTAAAACTTTTACCGAACCGAATATTTTAGAGAAACTGACGACCAAAGTAAAGTGAAATGTACTAATGTAATGTACTGTTTCTTTGTTTGATCCCAAAAACATTCTTCAAGCTTTCTATTTGAAAGTAAATAAAGACATGCTAAAGAAATAACGCTATACAAGTAGATTTAATCCATAAATAAAATATACTTTCAACAGTAAAATTATTTGGTGACGTAGCCGAATATTTAACGAATATTCGGCCCATCTCAAGTGTTTATCGCCAATGAGCAAAGCATCAAAATAAAGTAATGTGCAATATTTAGACATTTTCAGTATTCTTATATTTATCAGTTACACGAAGTCGTGAAACTTACGCTTTATTGTGTATATCGATAATTAACAAAATGGGCTAGTGTTTTTTAAATCTTTACACGTGCCACACCATCCACTTACCATCAGGTGGACTGTGCGTTCATTTGTTGCTCAAAAGTAAAACAATTGAACTATTTTATTCATACATCTGTAAATTTTAATTTGTTTATGTTATATTTTATCCTATGAATAACTTTAATCAGATGATTGAACAGACAGCTCCATTTCATGTAAAAAGGATACATTTTGTAAAAATAATATTTAAATTATTAATATCAGCGAATGAACTTGAGCTTTCTGTTTGACTTATCTGTCCGTAAATTGAAAATTTTTATTTCCATGCAGTGTAAACACTAGAAAGGTAGTTTTAACGGCATTAAGTGTCGTTCCCATGCACCACCTCGTATCATGTCGTGGTATATCGTAAGAGGCGATAGGGGAATACTAAAACAGGAGATGGGCAGTATATTATTGATATCAACTGAAAATAATAGTAAAAGCTGTGGTTATCAACACCTACCAAGCGTGGTAACGATGGAAAATTCCCCCTTTAAGGCATTTCGTTTTTGATCAATTATAACGATATTAAAAGTAAATATTAATAAAATATTTATTTATAGACGAAACGGTCGTAACAGAGGAATGGAGGGCGGTAGCGGCGTTGTATACAGAGTTGTTGGACGCACGCGCAGCAAGGCAGACTGTGGACAGCAAACGGAACGCCAGCCCCCGACTCCACGTCAAGACACCACTTGGAAGAAATATACCGACTCGCCCGGAGTAGGTGCCCCACCCTTGGTAATCATTTGCTTGTTCTATAAGTATAGTACGTGAGAGTAATATAGTCATCCGGTTAATATGGTGACTTTTTTATTACTCCAAAACTACAGCCTTGTTTGCATAGATGGCTTTGTGATATGATAGCTCTTCATCTAGATGACATGCTGACATTATAGTAAAAGTTTTAGTCAATTTTAATATGCTGTAGTGTAGTTATTTTTTTCAATTAGATTTTTCGTAGTGTTCTTAATTATTGCTAAAGCTTGTTTGCCATTTTTTTTAATATAGTAGTTAAGTATACAACTTTGCGTTTTTGTCTCTGTTTTTCTCCTAGTTTCGGTTTTATAAGGTGGAAAAGCATGACCATATTACCCTCACGTACCTTAATCTTTACACTACACACCTAAATCGAAAACAATTTTTTTAAACATATTACCTAAGTTAAATTTTACGATCTTATTTTAATAATTGGTGTGTATGTTCCATTTTCTTACGCACGTACGTACCTTAATCTTTACACTACACACCTAAATCGAAAACAATTTCTTTAAAACATATTACGTAAGTGAAATTTTACGATCCTATTTTAATAATTGGTGTGTAAATTCCATTTTTCTTACGTACGTACGTACGTACCTTCATCTTTACACTACACACCTAAATCGAAAACAATTTCTTTAAAACATATTAAGTAAGTGAAATTTTACATCCATATAATTGGGTAATCCTACACATTTTCTTACACAAACTAAAGAAAAGACAAAAAAAACCATTTTCTTACTACAAACAAAAACGATCCTATTTAAATAATTTGTGTGTATATTCCATTTTTCTTACGTACGTACGTACCGTAATCTTTACACTACACACCTAAATCGAAAACGATTTCTTTAAAACATATTACTTAAGTGAAATTTTACGATCCTATTTTAATAATTAGTGTGTATATCCAATCTTTATCGATAACTTTTACTTTCATGAATAATTAGTAAGAAAAAGATTTATGTATATTTTATGATATAAGATTACAAACGAGATATGAGACCATTTGAAAGTTAGTATTTACTGCAACCAATGAACACCTGTAATCGACTTCAAACAAAGGAGGCTATAGTTGTAAAATTGTAAATATTTGTTTGTAGAATCAACCCCCTCCGGCTCCACCGAGTCCATCGCACGGACGCAAAAGCGACCGACGAACGGGACACCACTCGCCGCAACATCACAAACGTGAAAAACTCACCGCCGCTCAGCAGCTTGGTATCGCACCCCACCCACAGGTAGCTATTAAAACACAATTTACTATTATAAACTACTCAATTTTTAATTTCATTACCAAGTTTATTTTTCTACTGAGTTCTATTATATAAGACAGCATCAATTGAAGCAAAATTAAAGGTTGATATAAGACCACGAAAGCGTCATATAAGTCACAGATGCATTATATAATGAATTATCAGTTCTTTTACCAACGACATAATATATAACGACAACACAAAAAGGAAGAAAAGTAGTATCCTTTCGTTCCGTATGTTCCCAACAAACACCAAACAAAAACGGACAGTAGCAAACTTTGAGTACTGGTAAAAAGCAAAGCAAATATACATAATTATTTTTACGGCTTCGTTTAACAAGTTACAAACACGTTCATCTTAGGATTAAGTGCATCTATTTAGTTACTTAAGTCTTATATTCTTCTAGGGCTTATGCATGCGACCGTTGCATTTCCCCTTCAACTAGTCGTAATAAGAGTCTTAATGAAGAATTAAAAGATAATTTACCATGAGCTTGCAACTTGTTAGAGCATTTCTACACCATTAAGCTTCATTCATATTGTGCGTAAGATCCATTATCGCATCTCGTTCCGTACTTGTTATAAGATTCGAGTTATGAAAAAAGGGCTAGGAAGATTAAATGTTTTATAATTTTGGTTGCAGGTGTCTATGGACACCGAAATACTACCAATGTAGTTAGAGATAATTACAATCAAGTGGACTCGTTTTTATTTTTTTTTATTTCTTAAAATATGCTATGTGTTGCTATTGCGTTAACCTATTCTTACAATATATAATTGTGTTGAAGCTTTATTGTTTATTGGAAAATATTCATAACATATTTATGGATTATATTAATAGGTTGTTGTAAAAACTGTCAGCATCACCCTCTAATGGCAGGACAAACAAAAAAAAAAAGATAAATATTCATAATAGAAAGAAAGGGATCGTTTAAAGTATTTTTAAACAAATGAATTGATGTTTATTGGATGAATAATTTGAAATTAACACAAATTTAATGGAATCTAAAAAAAAATAAAGGATCCGTTATCCAAAATGAGGTTGCGTTTGCAAGTAGAATTAAAAACCGGATCAGGTGAAGTTATATTTTAACATAACAGTCTTCTTATCATATTATTATTGTAATAAAAAAGATGAAAAATATAAGTTATCCGTTACATATGCTGCCTGTTTATCATAAAGGTGGAATTCCTTCAACTGAGGTAAGAACCTCCTAACCTACTGACCCAGGCTGGGTCAACGACACAACCTGAGAATAACTGCAATGCCTACGTCCACTAACGAGATGATACTCATCGACCACTCAGAATTTTCGCGTGCGAAACTATTTTCGCAATGCAGTATAATATATGAACACTTTGTTTTCAGTATGCGGCATCAAATTCTTCTAGTCAACATTCATCGAGGGGTAGTGGAGCTCAGGTGATTATTTCTTTTAAATATTTTTACATACTGAAGCGACAGGTCGTGGGTTCGAATCCGCCATTCGACTACTGTCGTGAACCACTCCTAACACAAGCATTTTAAGCTTACCAGGCGTAGTTAAAAGGAATTATTAGTAATGTTAATTAATAGAATTACCAGTATTTAAAAAATATATGTTTAAGGCGAGGATGGAATTACAGCGGAGCTTCTGAAAGCGGGTGGAAAACCGGTACTTGAAGTCCTTCGGAAGCTCTTCAATTCCGTCCTCCATGGTGGCACTACTCCGGAGGCGTGGAGCAGAAGCGCGGTGGTTTTGTTCTTTAAGAAAGGCGACAACGCTCTCTTGAAGAACTACAGACCGATTTCCCTTCTGAGCCGCGTCTACATGCTATTTTCGAGAGTCATTACGAATCGTCTCGCACGCAGACTCGACGACTTCCAGCCTCCCGAACAAGCCGGTTTCCGAAAAGGCTTCAGTACCATAGACCACATACATACCCTGCGGCAGATTGTACAGAAGACCGAAGAGTACAATCTGCCACTTTGCCTGGCATATGTGGACTATGAGAAAGCCTTTGATTCCGTCGAAATTTGGGCGGTGCTACAGTCCCTTCAGCGGTGCCAAGTTGACTGTCGGTACATCGAAGTGCTGAAGTGTTTGTACAGTAGGGCTACGATGGCTATCCGAGTACAGAACCAGAGTTCGAAACCTATCCAACTGCAGAGAGGTGTAAGACAGGGTGATGTTATATCCCCGAAACTCTTCACCGCTGCGTTGGAAGACGTTTTCAAGCTACTGGACTGGAAAGGATACGGTATTAACATCAATGGCGAGTACATCACTCACCTTCGATTTGCCGACGATATAGTCATTATGGCAGAATCGCTGGAGGACTTAAGCATTATGCTCAATGACCTCAATAGTGCCTCCCAACGGATAGGTCTTAAGATGAACATGGACAAAACAAAGATCATGTTTAATGTCCATGTCACACCTATGCCGGTAGTTGTTGGGAGCACTATGCTCGAAGTTGTTGACGAGTACGTTTACCTGGGACAAATAGTCCGACTAGGTAAGTCCAACTTCGACCGAGAGGTCAATCGACGGATTCAACTCGGCTGGGCAGCGTTCGGGAAATTACGACATATCTTTTCGTCAGGTATACCTCAATCTCTAAAAACTAGATTGTACAACCAGTGCGTGTTGCCAGTGATGACTTACGGATCTGAGACGTGGTCCTTCACTGCTGGCCGTATGAGGACGCTTAAGGTCGCTCAGCGAGCTATGGAGAGGGCTATGCTTGGAGTTTCTCTGCGTGATAGACTCAGAAATGAGGATATCCGCAGTAAAACCAGAGTGATCGACATAGCCCAACGGATTAGTAAGCTGAAGTGGCAATGGGCCGGCCATATAGCTCGAAGAACCGATAACCGATGGGGAAGAAAGGTTCTCGAGTGGCAGCCTCGTACCGGTAGGCGTAGTGTAGGGCGACCCCCCACTAGATGGAGTGACGACCTGGTAAGACATGCAGGAAGTCGATGGATGCAGGTGGCTCAGGACCGTGCTTTGTGGCATTACTTGGGGGAGGCCTATGTTCAGCAGTGGACTTGTGAAGGGCTGTAATGATGATGATGATGATGATGTTTAATTTATGGGTTTTGGGATATAAGGAAAACTATTATCAGATTGAAGAATATAATTACATTAATTGTAAAACGCTTTTGTAATTAATTGTAATTGCTTTTGTATTTGTTTAATAATACAGTTTTTGAATATAAAAACTGAAGGTAGCCTGGCTAACTATGACATTGGGGTGTCAAACATCTCAGTCCTCGCTGTGACCATGGGTGCTGTAAAGCACCCGAAATGTCGGGCATTCAAAATAAGTAAAAATAGTTAATTAAACGCGATAAAATTCGTAAATATAGTTTTATTCAATAAATATACTTACTTTTAAGAAATGATCGAAAATGCGCTTCCGAAACCACACATTTATGAATTTTAGTGAGAACTCTGATCGGACTGTGCTACTTTTTTTAAAGAATATTAAAAATGCTATAAACATTACTAATATTCCCCTCGAGGTACGCTTAAATTGCTTGTGTTACGAGTGGTTCACGCCAGTAGTCGGATGGCGGATTCGAACCCACGACCTTTTTGAGTTCGCGGTCTGCGCCCTGCCATTAGGCTACTGTCGCACATGTCTCGTCTGTGGCTTAGTAATTCAAAGATGTACTGCAGACTTACTGCTGGTTACCATCCATACTTCTATTATATATTTTCTTTTATATATCCATACTAATATTTCTACAAAACGCTATAAGTCATCTTTCATAATGCGCATAGTCAAGGAGCAGAATGCCCTGCCAGCGTCTGTTTTTCCCGAGTGCCTATAATCTAAACTTTTTCAAGATGCGGGTTAACAGGCTTCACCTGGCCAAACTAGTTCGATAGCAGACCTCATCTTTGCCCTCGGGCCAGATGGAGGTCAAGAGTGAGCCTATTTTTAATAAAAATAATGTGCTGATTTTTTTTTTAGCGGACACTTCTGCACATTCATATTGAATACGGACACCTAATGCGGGAACGTAGCATCCATCCGGGAAATCACTTACTTAAGTCCGGAAGCAACAAAAGAACCTCACAACTAACCAATTTCTGCAATTCATTGAAAGTGTATGGCTTCGTGGTGTATTATAACCTAAATCCTAAACAGCTATTTAACCTTCTTTTATTTTCCATCATTGGAAGACCAGGAGGTCGGTGGGTCTTCACCCCTTTATTGTTGATATTCCGCGCATTAGAATCAAACGTTTTACTTCGACTTTTTTAATGTGTACACCAAAAGAGTGGAATATTTTTTCCGTCCGAATACAATCTGGGCGTCTTCAAGGGTTCAAGGCAAAAGTGGATAGGCTTTTGTTACGCTATGATTTACCATCTAAGGCTGCATCACCACTTACCAACGGGTGGGATTGTGGTCAAGCACTGGATTATAAAAAGTAAAAAAAAAAATTGATCATACTGGTCGCAGTGGTTCTGGTCTTGTAAGAACGGCTGAAAAGCTGCTGGCTGTACGAAAATAAAACAATATAATATAATCCGACTCGAATTTGTTGATTTTATCACTGATAAGCCGCGTACGGGGGAGTGACAACAGCATCCTGAGGACGGTGGCAGATGATTCACATGCACCTATATTTAGGAGCTATGTGCGGACAATGTCCGAATTCGTAAATTCTTTAAATTAAAATATTATAATAATTATAGTACTACTAACCCCCTTATTATTAGAATTAATTACTAACCCTTATGGATCTATGTTGTCCGAAAATAAAGTGATTTGTTTTATCATAACAAGTCACTTTTACTTCTAACATCATTATCATCACTATCACTACACAAAGTCCACTGTTAGACATGAATGATTTTACTCACTTCACGGGTTGAGTAGAGTAATTCTGTGTGTGTGACTTAGCGGTCAGCCGCCGTAGAGTCTACATCACCTGAAGATGCCTTGTGTTGAGGCGAAACACGTGTCGTATTGTCGTCGATGGTGTGTCTTTCCTGGAATAGTGGTGTTGGGAGTAGTGGTGCTGGGATTAGTGGTGACGGGATTAGTGCACAAAGCGGGAGGTGCTCTTCAATCCATAAGACACATCATTGTATTTTTAAGCGGATAGTTGCGAATTAATTAATGTCTTTATTGTAATGGATTTCCGCAAAGTAACGCCTGATTCTATCAATTCTGTATTTATTAAAAATATAAGTAAACCATCTTTCAATACATATTTTTATAAGTACTCCTTTTTTTCAGCTGCAATCACCGAGTGGCGCCTCGTCTCGTCCTTCGAGCGTGTCTAGCGGTGGGAACGGTAGCAATTGTTCGTCGAGCAAAGCGAAAACGCCTCAAAACTTTGGTTACGTGAAAAGGCAAAATGGCGCGCAGCCACCGCCTCCGCCAGCGAATGGTCCTCCGCAGCATGGACATGGTAATAAATATAGTCTTATATATATTATTTTATTTTGTCGTACGATATTTTTAGAATGAATCAACCGATCGAAATGAGCGATACGGCGTTCAAAAGTGTTTATTGAAACTTCGAGCTGAATAGATTTTGAAGTCAATCGGTCGAGCCGTTTTAAAGATATTCAAAAACAAAAACAAAATTTTTTTCGTGTTTTTTCTAAATAACTTTCAAAATACTTGACTAGTCAACTCCAGACATTAAATACACTTTTTTGTACTTGAAAAAATGCGTCGAATGCTGCCAAGTAAGTCAAAATCGAACGACGCGTTCCAAAATTACAACTATTTAAAAATTTCTCAATAATCCTTTTTTTAGATAATTTTTAAATACAACGACCTATCGACCCCAGGCCTGACAAAAAAATTTTTGCACTTAAAAACTGTGTCGAATGACGCCAAGTAATTCAAAATCGAACACGACTTTCAAAAGTTATACGAGTAGCCATTTAAAATTTTCTAAATAATCGTTTTTAACTTCCCGCCTTGAACATTAATAATTTTCAAAAGTGTGTAGTTATAGTTTTCGGTTCGATTTTGAGAATGCGAGTTTTCATCACATTTTAAGGTCACAGGAAAATGTTTCGACTATTTCCGCCTGGACGTTCGGCCGTGTGTGTGTGTGTGTTAGCCATTTAAAATTTTCTAAATAATTGTTTATTTGTTGTTACTTTGAATTTTCATCAACTAACTGGAAGATTTTCGATCGTATCAAGCTCGAAAAAAGCGGAAAGTTCCGGGGTTGGCTTACCGGTCAACCGTTTTTCAAATATTTTTTGTTGGAAAAGTCTAAGTGGGCATTGCAGCATATAAGTCATGTGTATCGACTAAAAAAGAAGGAACGATAAAAAAAAGACAGTTAATGTTATGGTCAATGTCATAGACGTCTATAACATAACATAACCCCTCAAAATTATGTTTGTGATAATAACAAAAAGACAGCAATTTGGAAGCAGATTCAAACTACGTTAGTTAGACGTTACCAAAAAATAAAAACAAACGCATAGATGGCATTAAATATATGCACTGAAGGGATCATTTAGTACTGACAAACCATAAATGAGATGATCCTGAATTGGTCCGTACATTTAGACTCTGAAGAGGCAGCCAAATATGTCATAAATGTAAATAGAATTAAAAAAACTGCTTATATTTATGGCAGAACTGTATTATTTCATTAAAATGTCTCTTATGTCAGTTTGTTTTGATTTGCGACACAATTATAATTATAGACATAGAAACAACTATTATTGTTAGAATCTTGTGAAGAATTGCAAACGGTGATTACTACAAAAACGATTAACGAAACCTGTCGACTACTTTCTTACGACAATAAAGGCAACTCATTCATAAACTGTGCAACAGTGTGTCTTAAAATCACAGGAGCTTCAACTGGAAACACTCTGCTCCACTATACCCGATCGCTTCTACTTATTATTTGCTTCCGAATTGGGATAACTTTTACAGTAAAGGTATTAAACTTCGACGAGGCGGTGTACGATCCATTAAATAGAGCACCAATACCAGTTGCTAGGATTTGTATAGCCGGGGACATCAATGAATAAAATGTTTTCCGTTCTAAGTTTATCTAGTTTTTTTTTTATAGTATAGGGGGACAAACGAGCACACAGTCCACCTTATTGTAAGTGGTTGTTGTAGCCCATAGACATCTACATCTGTCCTCGATTACGAATCAAAATGCAGATGCGTTATCACTCGTGAGGACTAAGATGGAATGCCTCGTTTCCAGTAAAAAGGGTCTCCGGTTCTCTACACTCACCGTACGAAACACAGCAGCATTAACCTACTATTTTACGCTGGTATTCTGTGAGAGCGTTGTCCTTCCCCGATCGAGCCGACCCATTCGTGCTACAACTACGAGTATACTAGTGATATAACTGCATGGCTCTACCACGTATACACGTTATCACATGTTTTAAATTATTATTCTTTTGTTGACCAAAAATTCTTAAAAATATTATATTGATTGAAGTTACTCTCAATATATGATTCATATTCTGTTTTAGGTGGAAGAACTGCTCAAGTATCTGCTGTTCCGAGAACGAAAGTCAAAGTATCGGGTGGAACGCAAACATGCACACAAGATCTACAAATACATAGTAAGTTTATTAAAATACAAAGTACTAAGTAAGTACTATTAGATGAAATGACGACCTGATGAAACACGCAGGTAGTCGATGGATACAGGTGGCTCATATGCGTGTAATCAGATCACACCGAAACGATAAGAAGACCACATACAAATACAATTGACGACTTTCATAGATTTGGAAATGAAATATATAAATAGGAAATGTTTGTATTTATAAAATTTGTTTGTATTTTTTTAAGATTGTTACCTCACAACTTTTTTCTAAGTGAATCGGTTTTGATGATTTTTTTAGGGGCATTAACTGAATGAGTCATTTTTAATAATAAAAAAAAAACAAAAGCAATAAGATTCGAAAAATGTTATAGACCACAACTCATTACATATAGATAAGCATGAACCATAACGGCCAAGACAGTGATACAACACATCATACATCACGTCATATTCTCCAAAAGTTTTATTCTTTCCTCGTTCACGTAGACTCGTGCATAGGCTTCAGGCAGTAGGTTATGATAAATATTGTAAGTGCAGCATAAGGAAATATTTTTTTAATGTGCTGCATTTACTTTTATTTTTTAACTGTAATTAATTTGAAAGTAGGTAAACATAACGTGATAATAATATCATTCGTTAATACTGTGTTTCAGAAAATGGTATTGGACCCAAATCGTATTCGCTGGGCGGGACAGCAGCCGCTCAGCTTTCAGCTTCAGTACGAGAACGTCTCCTTGGTTCACAATCTTTACCGAAACCAGGAACCCATGAATTCGCCGCGTTATTCCATCATCACCGGTAAAGTGTAAAACTCATTTGTATCATCAATAACTGTAACTACGAAAACGTCTTTTAAACGTATTATTAGCGTGTAATAATAGCAGCATAATGCTGTCGTGTTTCTTGTATATACTGACGAGAAACCAACACTCTTATAACTGGGAATGTGGCATTCCATTTTAGTCCTCAGTTATGGCAACATGTCTATATTTTTATTCTTGATCGAGGATAGATGTAGGTGTTTATGAGCCGTGGCGTCCACTTACCTTCAGATGGAGTATGTAATTGTTTGTCCATTCCGCTACGAAAAAATCATATAGGCTATATGATTGTATCTGTAACGAAAGCAGCAGGCGCAAAAAGCTTTTGTCGGTTATTCACGCTAATTGCCATAGTACCGTATCGTTTTCAGTCAAGTAGCTAGACAACATCTTCCAATGCAGCGGTAGAGAGTTATCTCTTACCTCTATGAAGTGAGATAGTAGTATTTATCGTACCCTTATACTTTAGTGATAATAAGTACTTATATTTTTAAACCAATACATTACATTGTATATACTGCTGCTAAGCAAATGTAGTGTTTCTATTATTATACTTTCTGGTACATTTAAATAACAATTTGTAATCATTTAGCTCTAGATACTTAATACTCATTCACACCGTAAAATGAGTTTAGTTTCTTATGTCAACCAAGGTCTTTAATAAAATGGCGGGGTATATTGTGACATCATATTAATTAATTTAAACTCGTCTTGCGTCAGTCACAGAACCACATTATTGCAGATGTACTAGAAGGCCTTTTAGATTATAATTTATAGTCTGACACTACAATTAACTACTAAATGAAATGATTCACGCCAACATGAAAATAGCCAAAACACAATATTTATTTGTTATAGGTATTTTAATTGAAGACTGCAATAACACATACATTTGAATGAATATTTACATACGTAAGAAAGGAGCTTATTACTGGTATTGACCCTCGTTAGTTTTATCGTTCCTGTTATGACTTATAATTCAATCATTAAAAAGTTAAAAAACTAATAACATAAAAATTATTATTGCCGTATCTAAAGTTTTAGAGTTTGTGTAAATTCTGCAAATTTTGAGGTGTCGTGGATGCCGGTACATAATCATCTCGTATTTATCCTTAGCTTTTATAAGGTTTATCATCATCATTGTCACTTCAGCCCGTCACAAGTCTATTTCTGAAGATAAGCCACCCCCCAAGTTATGCCACAAATCAGGGTCCAGCGACATCACATTCATATCTTTTCCATTCCTTGAAACTTGATCTCTACCTGTGTGATGTTTCGTAGTACGACACTCAATATGCGATCGCTTTTCCAGGCGCCTTACACCTAAAGCCTCATTTACATTCAGCCCCTGCCACTGCTCCTCGCGCTGCCGGCAATACTTCGCTAAATACTGCCGTAGCAGGATCGCGGGAAGTCTCACATCACTTTCGGCTTTCGACTATGGTAGACGTCGAAATAATTACAGCGTCTGCGCTGTGTCTTCTTGCAATACAAAATTATGTTAATAATTTAAAAAAGATATCAAGTCAATGTTCATTAATTCCTTAAACTAAATTTTATATTAATATAATAAATTTGACGAATTTATAATTAATTATGTACATAGGTACTATGTTATTTCAAAAAGAAAAGTCGTATTCGTAGAAGATGATGAATTGTGGTTTTTGTCGTTGAAATCCCATATAATTTTTTCTGATTCCAGCACTTCTAAAAACTTTATTTTATTTTCATTATTCCACTCGAAAGGCATTTTGGTAGATCGTTTTTATTTAATAACAAGGCGCAATGCAAAAAAAATGCAATAATCCAGGCGCTTGGCGCGAAGTGAGTGATGCAGCTGAATGTGAACACTCACTGCCGCTCGCGCTGCCCGTCCTTTGACTTCCGCACGAAAAACCGACATTTGAGGGATCGTGGCAGTGGCAGCGGCAGTGGCAGTGTCAGCGCGAGTAGCCTGTTTACATACTGCCCTGCCCACCGCCCTGCTCACTTCCCTGCCCAACAGGGCTGAATGTAAATGGGGCATTAGACACCGTTATTTCGTCGGTCGCATTCATTACCGGAACATTTCCGAAATCATGTGTTTTGAGATAAGCATGCAGAATGGTAGGTAATCATATATTTTTTCCAAATCACCAGCGGTACAACTCAAATTTCGGTTCTAATTGACAGAACACTACTTATTCCGGTAAAGAAAAATTGGTTTTAGTAATCTCTTCGCTTTCAGTACCAGTTTATTTCGAAATGTCCCGCTGGCACTCAAAATTCTAAAGCGCATGCGTGTTTCATCAGTCGAATATTGAGAAATGTTCCAGTATGACTGAAATCTTTTAGTTGATTATTGTTTATTCGTATTTTGTGTCAGTCTCGCTTTGAACGCTCAGTATAGTGGCCAGAAGCAAGTTGAGCAAGCAATAAAAATTGTAAAAATGTGTTCAAGAGCTAAAAAACTGCTTAAATTAGCAACAATGAAAAGTTCTGGGAGTGATCATGATCAGTTTAGCGGTAAATTTTATTTTAATAACTATTTAGTTTCATTATGTGACCGGTTACTTGCGCTCATATTACCAGTTCTTTGACTTGCGGCCTAAAAACCTACAAAACAGGCATCGATGGACACGAGGAGGAGCATGACGTACAGCTTGACAAGTATTGTGGCCATACTACGTCTCTACCTCCTTTCCTCGATACTTCTCATGCCACGACGAGTGTGTGGCAGGGGCATTCATTACGCAGTAGTATAATAAGTCTATGGGCAGGGGGTTATATATATATATATATATACAATATGTAACGTAATTAACGCACACCCTCAGACACCCCAATTAGTATATTATGTTATAATCATAATACATACACTGAATTTTTAGTTAAACATTTTTATGCACTGATTTTTTTTATCAAACTAGTTATACTAATTCCAGAAGAATGTTCTGGTCACAGTACAAATCCACGAACGCAAACACTTTAACGTGCTTGAAATAAAGTTCATTTTTCTTTATTTTATTGAATGATAGAATTAGTAATAATACAAATAAAACTGCATTCTTAAAAGTCTTATTGCCTCAAGTTAAGGTACATTTCAGTTTGTTTTGACTGTACAGATTTAGTGACTGTAATTTACGTAGTTTTAATTATTTTTGGGATAAAAAATTATCTATATTAAAAACGATAGGAATCGATTCAGTAAACGATTCTGAACAAACTACTTTCTCAAAGTGCGTTAATTATGTTACATGTTGCATATATATATATATATATATATATATATATATATATATATATATATATATATATATGTAATCCTTGTCACTAGGCTAGGACTACTAAATAGAAGTGCCAACCTTGCTGTTTTCCGGTTTGAAGAGAGAGAGCCAGTATAATTAAAGGCTGTGAGACATTTCACCTTAGTCCTCAAGTAGGCTATTTAATGTGGGTTACGGATGTCCATGTGACGTAATAGGTAGCTATCAGGTAGATTAAGTACAATTTCGCTAGTCGCTTTAGTTTTATAAATAAAAAATCAGTACAATTTTTTTCTATATATCAATATTACGTTTATGTTTAATATTCGTAGATATTTATGATCTATTATCTAATTTAAGCGTTTTTATGTACATCTACTTGATTCGTGAGATTGTGGGTTCATATTATATGTACTTTGTGGTATTATTGATATCCAACTTGTGACATGACATGCAGGCAAATATACTTTATCAGTCGTATAGCTTATTTGAACAACTTTGAGGGTGTCTTATCTCATGGGAATCTTAATATTCAGTTCTGTCTCGCTCTTCGTAAGCATCGTTTACGTGCGTGCATTGCAAGACAGTATTTTTTACCATATTTTTAGTGAATTTCGTGACGTTAATTTGACTCGTGAAACAGTTTAGTCTTTATATAGTTTATTAATTACAGAGTTACTCCAAGAGGTGGCATGAAGATTAGTGATGGAAGTTTATCTGACACACAAACATACTCCGAAGTCAAGTCAGATTATGGCATACCATATGCACCCTGGCTAAGACACAGGTATATACCCATTTGTAAATATTTATTATGTTCTATTTATGAACGAATGTGAGTGGTGTGTAAAAATAACGACATTTTAAACATATTTGTATATCATTCGACGTGTATGTGTTTATTGTATTATCAAGCATCATTTGTCATTCCTTTACCGTATCCTATACGCTTGAATAACGTGTGTGCATTTTGTGTAATTAAATCTGGTTTGGAATTAACACAAAGTGTGACACACAACTATGTATCACTTTACATGCTTCTGCTGCCTGTGCAATTTTGGTCAGTTGTACATTAAGGGATAAAAATTACAAATGCAACTGGCCAGCATGGCACCACCTTCATTTCTTTCCCACATTTCAGCAACACATACTCGGCAAGTGGGCGCCTGTCCGAGGGCGAATCGATGGAGTCGCTCACTTCGCTGCACTCGGCGCAGGCGCACAACCATACCTCATCCCCTAACTCACACCACCGCAGCTCACTTACACACAATAAGCTCATCATGCACCGAGAGCCTCAAGGGTCAAGACTTAACAGGAGCAACAGCATTAGGTGGGTTTTACAGTCCTCTCACTGCCTGCGTCAACTGCAGGAGCTTTATATCGCTGTGGGGTGGATTTTAAACTAATGGGTATTTTTTATGATAATAAGTAAAATTTAATACAGGAATTACTCATTCAATCATACACCCATTCCGCTTTTCGCTATAACTCTTATAAACCAATTTGTACTCATCACTTATTTATTTTATTCGTATATAATATAATCAAATACATATATCTAATCTATATAATTTAGTATAATATACATTTCACGCTATAGGGATCTAAATGTTTCTCATCCAATGCTAAGACTGGATTGTTGATTACATTTTAGCTATCTCAGAGATAGGACATTTCCAAGGTACGGCACACAAGGTTGGGAATATATAAATGTTTTGGCTTCGAGGTGGCACGCTTTACACGAAATATTACATACTATAATATGCATGTTTCTATCAAATGTGGCACGGCTTTTGATACACAATAATGAAATTTTCTTGTCTCATCAATGCTGTTGAAAGTGATCGCTACGTCATTGTTATTTTCGCCACAGATATTTTATTTTAATTCCTAAAAACACAGGCCACTTTAAAAACAACTATATGTTGCACATATAGTTTTATTTTTATCGTGAACAATAAACACTGCCTATTTCAGTATTTTTGAAAATAATTAGCTTTTATCGTCGATCTGCTAAACCCTTGTAATGCAAATGAAAGACATGACGTGGTATTTGCTACAACTATGTGACTTTATTTTAAAATATTTAATATAAGTATCATTCCAGATCGACTAAGTCGGAGAAATTATACCCATCAATGCTTCAGAGATCTTCGGAGAGTGACTATGAACCTTATTACTGTTTACCAGTGCAATATGGACCAGGAGGGCAAGGTAACTTATCAACAATACAACCATCAATCATCAATCATCAAACTACGTAAATATATTATTTAAATAGTACAATTTTAATAAATGTATTTTTAATTTATTTTAGGTCTAAACTATGGTGTCTCAGAGCCTCCATCACCATCTCCAAGATCAGCTTTGAGTCCCACACACCAACCCGGCAACGTCATGCATACTCCCAGACATTCCCATCACTATCCGAAGAAAAACGATGAAGGTGAGAACTATTATTTAAATATTTTAATCATATATAACGTATAAATGACTATTTTAAGAAAATAATAGCTGGGATATTCACTACGAAGGAGTTTATCGCGTCCATATCAATAAAAGGACAAATTTGTTTTTTTTTTATCGAGATAATCTCTATGTATACGGTGTTATGTATTTTCAGTATCATCATCCGATGGCATTTTATAGTTCACTGCCGCAATCGGCACGCTCGGTTAGTGATTTGGTGATCGCTTAGACATCAGCAGCCTGGGTATTTTATATCCAACGATTTTTAAGATGTTTATTTTACCGCCAGAAGTCATAGCATATACGATTTTTGACAAGCATACACCGATATTTATATATAATGATACATACGAATTATTTTTTAGCCATTTTAAGCTTACTCTAGACATAGGGGCTTTCTTATGAATATTTTCTCGGCCTCCAGCGATAGATTTGCATTATAGCTTCTCTCCTACGAAAAGCGACATTTTGAAAATTTGGACAGGCGGAACACAGCCATAAAAGGCTAAATAATCCAGACATCTGATAGCCATCTGACAGGTGGGGTCACACCAAGAAGAGAATAATTAAATTTACGACATATTATTTAATTATTGTATTCGGTATATATACGTCCGATATTATTTGGTGATCGCTTAGAAGTCTACAGCCTGAGTATTTTAATACCAACGGTTTTTAAGGTGTTTATTTAATCACCGGAAGTCATAGCATATACGATTTTTCAGATATTTTCCTGTGACAATATTTTTACGGAAAAATAAATCAAGGCGTAAAATTGAGTATGTGGTCCTGATATTGTTATCGAGACTACATAAAGTATTTGTGGTCCCAATATTGTTATCGAGACTACATAAAGTTTATGTTGTCTCGATATTGTTATCAAGACTACAATATATTTATGTGGTCTCGATATTGTTATCGTTGATGGGATAATTTTCAGGAAAACAAACACATTTACTTTTACGCGTAGCCATTTTGTTTTTAGTCAAACGGGGCTTATTATTAGATGAATTACGAGCGAAATCTTTAGTTTATGATCATTTTCGATGCTTCGTATTAAATCCTATCACTTCCAAAAAACGGGGGCCGAAACTTTCTGTCGCGATGACAGATTTCATTTCAAAACTTTTAGTTGTTTAGTTTGATTAGGGATTTAAATATTTAAACTATTTGTGACTATACCAGCCTGATATAAGATAATTTTTTTTTAGCTTTAGGCAATAAATTTATATCATGATCACGAGCATTTATTTTTTAGCCATTTTAAGCTTACTCTAGACATAGGCCATCTTAGGAATATTTTCTCGGCCTCCAGCGATAGATTTGCACTATAGCTTCTCTTTTTTCGAAAAACCCGCAGAGGCCGGACCCAGCCATAAGAGGATAAATAAGCCAGACATCTGACGGCCATTTGACAGGTGGGGTCACACCAAGAAGAGAATAATTAAAGTTACGACATGTTATTTAATTATTATATTCGATATATACATATACGTCCAACTGCACAGACCTCCTTTCATGAAAATATTTTAGGGCACCAAGAGTCTACCTAAATACCAAAATATAATAAGATGTAGATATTATATATCTTAGTTTTTAACTAAAAATTATCTTTTGTTTTTTTCTATTTAGCTCATGGTTCAACAGCATCGCTTGTGTCGACGGCGTCATCACTAGCCGCCGGTGCAGGCTCCGAAGAACGACAAGCTCATGAGGTAAATATGAAAATACCACAGTAATATTAGAAAATTGTTTTTGAAATCGAACCTCTTTTTTTCCCATTGCAAGTCTGGACATGGGCCTCTTCTATTGTGTGACATCCACGTGCCGTGCTTGGAATGCGATTTCGCGACCGTTAACCAGTTTCTTGCACTTTATACGTGTATAGATAATATGTATGTGTGTGTACGTAAGATATTGTATATGTATCGTGCCAGAGCAAAGTGAAATCTTTGACAAATTATTTTTGTTTCCTCAGCACTATTTTTAATAAAAGAAATGCAGTGGCTCATGGACATAGGGATAGGAAATGAATATTGTATAGCACCGCTTCTATAATAATATGTAGATTTATACAGTTAGGAGTTGATAAACTATTATAGATCATTTCTGTATAAATTTTAGAAAAATTTAAAATTAATAATAAAAAATCGTAGTATTTAGTATTTAGAAGTATTTTTGATGCAATGATTTAAAAATAATATATATATATATATATATATATATATATATATATATATATATATATATATATATATATATATATATTAATCATAATAAAGTATAATATTATACATCTTTTGTGACATTAGGCCAGTTGTGCTAAGGCTTTTTTATAAAATTCGTCGCTCATTGGTTGAGAATGCCCAAGTTCATTGAAGTCCAACAATACAATATAGGTTTTAATAAAATGAGTACAAGAGGAGTATTTTTAGGTAAATTAAAAATAGTTTTAGCCATAACATTTTATATTATAAAGTAAATATAAAAGTTAAAATAAAATTAATTACTTTTTACCTTTAGGTGCGCAAGTTAAGAAGAGAACTGGCTGACGCTAAGGAAAAAGTTCATACGCTGACAACTCAACTAACTACAAATGTAAGTAAATTTTAATTTTTGTTTTATATAAGCATACACTAAGATATTTTATTAACTTTTATAAAAATAAGTATAATCGTACAAATGTCCCACATCTGGGCACAGGTCATCTCCCATTTCTAAGAACATTTAGGAGTGCAAGGGATAATCTGCAGTGTTACTCTCAATAATATCTTAGAATGGCAGGATTTTGCACGCTGCGCTCTCACTTATCACCCCGAACATTTTGTAAATCATGATTTAAGTTGCAATAAGCATGAGTTAGTTTTTGCTTAATTTTTATAAAAGGTGTACAATTTCTTCAGTTCCGACGGGCATTGAACTCGGTTTGCTCGCGTTCTACTATTTTATTAAAGCAATCACTTATCCCTAGAACTATTATAGCTTCTTTCACTGTTTTGAATAATATGCTAATAATATGCAAATATCCAGAAATAAAAAAACCCATACCAAGCATTCTTGCTCGCGTTCTACTATTTTATTAAACAATCACTTATCCCAGAACTATTAAGCTCTTTCACTGTTTTGAGATAATATTGAATTAATATGCAAAATAATTCATGTTACGTGTGCCAGAAATATAACAATTAAATTTTAATTTTGGACTCCATGATAACTTGACCACCGGCGGTTTTCTGCTCCTTTTATAGTTTGGGTAAGGGTATGAAGTTTACTTATTATTTTGTTTATTTATTTATTTACATCCAACTTATATTTAATATTACAGGTTTCTACGTAATGCGGTAGATTAGCACTATTTACAATCCTATATTACCTTATAGGTTATTATCCATAAAGCAAGTTTTGTAAATTCGTTCAGAGTATAAAAGTGTAAATAAATCTGTTTCTCTGTCAATTAGGTTTAACATTCGAAACGCTCGTGTCAGGGGTGCCTCTCGCAGTAAGTTAGGGCGACATCTAGGGACGGCCAGTAGATCTGGCTGACGCCACCGCCATATATATACCTACCCGGAACACAAACGTTAATCTTCTTCAATATATTCCCATTAAGTATCTTACCCCTAAGAACTTAAGAAATATGAAAAGTAAGCTCTTTTCTTGAAGGTCCCCAGGTCGTATCGGTCCGGAAAATTCGCCGGTGGTAAACTATTCCACAGAAAGGTTGTACGCGGAAGAAAACTCCTTTTGAAACGTACAGTGGTGGACCGCCAAGCATCCAGATGGTGTGGATGGTATCGGGACGTTTGCCGCGTAGTGCGTTCACGAAATTTGGCGGCTGGGATTAATCCGAACAATTCCTCAGAGCACTCTCCATGGTATATGCGAAAGAAAATGCAAAGAGATGCAACATCTCTTCGCAATGCCAGTGAATCGAGCCGATCGGAAAGCACTCGGTCGTCGACGATTCGAGCCGCTCTGCGCTGGATGCGGTCAAGTGGAAGGAGCTGGTACTGGGGAGCCCCAGACCAGAGATGGGAACAGTATTCCATGTGCGGCCGAACCTGCGCCTTGTAAAGTTGCAGGCGGTGTGCCGGCATGAAATACTGTCCCGCTCTGCTGAGCACGCCAAGCTTTTTAGAGGTCAATTTGGCCTTCCCTTCTAAGTGACCACGAAACTGCACGTCACTCGATATGTCGACGCCGAGGATTCCAATACTGGCTGAGGCAACAAGGGGAGTGCCTTGAAACTGAGGGGATACGACAAAGGGGTTCTTTTTAGCGGTTAACGCGCAAACTTGTGTCTTCTGGGGGTTAAACTGGACTAGATTTAGTCGCCACCAATCCGAGACTCTGTTCAGCAAAGACTCGACTTCAGACACAAGTTTATTCCGGCACTCGGAGACGTTTTCCCGATAAATATTGGCTCGACCGATGTAAAGAGCATCACCAGTGCTGTCATCTGCATAGCAATGAATGTTACGGGTTTGCAACATATCATTGATATGCAGAAGAAACAGCGTTGGCGATAGCACGCAGCCCTGTGGAACACCAGCATTAATAGGCTTGCAATCGGAGCTTGCACCGTCAACAACGATCTTGATGCTCCGATCTGCAAGAAAGCTGGTGATCCAATCGCACAATTTCTCGGGAAGCCCATAGGAAGGGAGCTTCGAAAGAAGCGCTTTGTGCCAAACCCGATCGAAGGCCTTCGCAATGTCCAAACTAAGGGCCAATGCCTCCCCCTTGGACTCTACTGCCTCCACCCATCTGTGAGTTAGGTAGACCAGAAGATCACCAGCTGACCGACCACGGCGAAAACCGTATTGGCGGTCACTAATCAGCTGGTGATCCTCAAGGTACCTCATGATCAAAATACAAAATCACAGAGAACGATGACCTAGGAGTTAAATAATTTAGAATAATTTTCTTCAACAATGTAAAAAAGGACCTTGAATGAAATCCCGTAACTCATATCTTTATCTTTCTTAAAGTTGTTAAGAATTGCTTCGCACACATCCGCCCAATAAAATAAAATGATGTGTCTTACCTAGTTAAGAGTACCTCCCGCCCTCCCTCAATTGCGTGCACTAATCCCGTCACCACTAATCCCAGCACCACTACCCCCAACATCACTACAGTAGAAAAGATACAATATTGACGATAATATGACACGTGTTTCGCCTCTACACGAGGCATCCTCTGGTGACTCTGCGGTTAGCGGTCAGCCACCTAACTGGCCAGTTAGGGAGATGCTCATTAAACTAGGTAAGACACGTCATTTTATTTTATTGGGCGGATGTGTGCGAAATAATTCTTAACTACTTTAATATAATGTATATCCGCAAAGTAACACCTGATTCTATTAATTATTTTATCTTATTTATTCTTTTTTATTGGCCCGTAAAGTGAGCCGATGAACTTGAGTCTCTCTCACTGTAGTGATGAATTTGCCTCAGTCTCGACGTTTTACATCATTATGGTTATGTGATTATCTACTAAAACCATGAGATATTTCTGATATTTCCCAAAATAACTTCGTTTATGCTAAAGGAATGCCATAATTGCTCTTAAAAAATCTGGGAGTATTCAAATTTATAAATAATTAAAGGTTGATTTGTATTTAAGTAGCCCAAATTGCTGCCAATTAGGTTAATTGTTGTTATAATCATATAGCATACCTACGTATAAAATGCGCTTGTCTGTCCGTGACTTGTTTTTTTTTTATTGGGCTTATATTTATTTTTCATCTATTCTACTTCATCCTTTCTATTTCATTTTTTTCACTATTGAAATTAGGAGATACACACTTTTTTATTTAAAACGAACTTAACTGTAATAGCAATTTAATTCATACATACATAGTTGAAAATTGAAATAACCAACATTTCAAACATGAGTAATAATATATAGGCTGACCATTGATGTGAAAATTCTCCAAAAGCTGCTTTTTACACTGGTTTATTGTAATGGCGTGGTGCTTCCCCTGCCGTGTCGACAGGAAGGGTCAGCCTCAGGCCGCAGCCAAGTACAACGCGACCACCGCGTAAAGGCATGATCATGGACGACACACACGGTCAGTTCAACTGATCATTCCAACTGATCAGTAGAAACTAGGACTGTTGATATTTTTTTTAATATCGGATTTTCGATATATCGATAATTTTAAATATATCAACATCGGAGTTTTATATGTCTGTTGTTTATTTATCGAAAATCCGATATTTAAAAAAATATCAACAGTCCTAGTTTGAACTGATCAGTTTGAATGATCTATTGAATTGACCGTGTGTGGCGACCATAATAATCAACAGTACGTTGACAAAAACAATTGTGTTTAATACGAATTCTATAATATTTTAGTACTTCTGGTTCACGTATAAAGTCGTTTCAATATCTTGTTTGTTCATTTTAATTAGACATTAGATTTCTAATGCGTGAGTGATTACACTATTGCATGTTTAATTGCTAGTTCGTTGAATTTATATTAGATGTTAAAGAAACTTCCACTTTATTACCATTTTATTCCAGGTTATAGAGATTTAATGCTATTTTTCCGATTTTTTTTAATTTTAAGGTAAAACTCGACTTTTAATTTGAAAAAACGTGTCTATCCTCTTCACCCGCCTTATTTACTGACTTAACCTATCCTGACCTGTCCTCAGATAACAAGACCTGAACCAATGACTATATAACCACGTGGTTATATTCTCTATGACCTGAACTGAACTGACAATCCTTGTGATTTCTACCTGTTTCCAAAAACTAAAAATAAAAATTATAAATGGAAGGGAATAAGGGAAAGGGGAAAATAGTCCGACTAGGTAAGTCCAACTTCGACCGAGAGGTCAATCGACGGTTTCAACTCGGCTGGGCAGCGTTCGGGAAATTACGACACATCTTCTCGTCAGGTATACCTCAATCTCTGAAAACTTGATTGTAGAAACAGTGCGTGTTGCCAGTGATGACTTACGGATCTGAGACGTGGTCCTTCACTGCTGGCCGTATTAGGACGCTCATGGTCGCTCAGCGAGCTATGGAGAGGGCTATGCTCGGTGTTTCTCTGCGTGATAAACTCAGAAATGAGGACATCCGCAGTAAAACCAGAGTGACCGACATAGCCCAACGGATTAGTAAGCTGAAGTGGCAATAGGCCGGCCATTTAGCTCGAAGAACCGATAACCGATGGGGAAGAAAGGTTCTCGAGTGGCAGCCTGGTACCGGTAGTGTAGGACAACCCCCCACTAGATGGAGTGACGACCTGGTAAGAGGAAGTCGATGGATGCAGGTGGCTCAGGACCGTGCTTTGTGGCATTACTTGGGGGAGGCCTATGTTCAGCAGTGGACTTGTGAAGGGCTGTAGTGATAGTGATGAAGAGACTTGAAGGCAATAACGACGCAATGACTGTCTATAATTTCGAGATTTCTGAGGTGGCCTAAAGGAGAATCGTCAGAAGAATTTTCCAAACTGCTCAAAAATATTATGCAAAAGTGTATACGTGGTAAAGGTAATTTATATATATTACTTTGAAAAGATCGATACATACTAAATAGAATAAATACTATAATTTTCAGTGTTTCTACTAGTTTCTGTTGACATGACATCCGCGATATGT